CCCCGTCTCCCTGGTCTGCTGGCTCCCCCAGCAGACCAAGGAGACGGGGAGCAGCTTTTCTCGCCCCGGAGGAGGCGGGCAGCGGGACCAGGCGTCCCGCCGCTCCAGTCCTCCGGGGCGAGAAAATCCCCATTCGTAACTGCGGATCCGAAATAAGTCGGATCCGCGTAACTCGGGGACTGCCTGTATACAAAGTTATGTACTTGCCAGTCAAGACCTAAAGCAGTATTTTCACCCATTTAATAATTGCTCATACTTCATATAGTTGCCTACCTGTTGGATCCTTGGTTGCACCTTCTGGTTGCTTCAAGAAGAAAAAAAAATGAGTGAAAAATATTGAACATTTATTTTTTCTAATGAAAAGAGGCACTATTTAGTAGCTTGTTGTGCTGGAGGGAATTTTTAAAATAATCTTCTGAATTCTTTTCATTTTGGGTCACAATAGTAACTCTCAGCCTTGACATGAGTTGTGACTGTCCGATAATTTTCTTTCAAACTAATTAGAGGGCGCTGTACATTAATTCTTGTGCTGAAATGACTACAGAATCATGTATATAGTAACTAAAAAAGAATTTAGTTCAATGAGCTGTATTATCTTTGGAAAAAGTAAGTCCCCATTCTACTACTGTAGGAATATCTATATATAATCACCAGTCATGGAACAATTTGTGAACATAGTCCCACTGAATTAAATCTTTGCCAGATGGAGACCTGTGATTTCAGGCAATAGTCCTAACCACTCTGTCAAATATTCAATGAAACACTGTTAATGGAACATCAGAGCTGTCACATATTCAACATGCACCAAGGTCAGAAAACTAAGTTATGTTTCCCATAGCAGTTGCAATTGAACCCCAGCTGCATATTCAGAGCCAAACCTTGCCTCCTTCCAAAACAGTAAACCCTAAAGTACAGCAAAACCTCCTTCATTTTATCATGCAAGATGACTGGACATTGAAATCACATCATGGAATTTCCTGATTTTTGTGTCTGGGTAATTTCAGTTATAATACTTTTGTTTGAATGTAATGTCTTTGGCAAGGTAAAAATCATTACATCATGAAATGGGCATCATAGCACCTGGTCCTGTAACCACTGCAGTCAATGGTAAAATTACCACTGACTTGAATACTATTGGATCAGGTCCTTAATGCTCTTTGATTACACATGCAAATAAATGAACTGGCACCTTTGATTAAATATTGAAATAAAAATTTGCACATATATTCATGCAGCCCTTGTAAGAAAAAAACTGCCAAGCATTCTGCTAGGTATTACCACTGGAAATTTCAAATTTCACATGTACTAAAGATAGCACTCCTTGTTTTCAGTTACTTTATTTAACCTAATTTTTTATTTACTTAAATCCCAGGAATTTATCACTGTTTATTACCCAACAATAAAAATGGTAAAAATCAGTGCAAAAAACTATTAACTTTTCTGAGTATATGTTAGGGTTTATTTTGATGGACAGAAAGCCAGGAGAGTAAAGTATTTGGTGGACTAATGCTTTGAATTCTGTTCATCAACATGGTTTGCTGAAAAACTAGAACAGAAATCAGAACACAATGCTACCTCTCAGTTTAAGAAAACACTATACCTCTCATCCCCAAATACATCTTTTCATTTGAATAAACAGTTTACTGTTGTAGACACAGAACTACTAGCCTCTAAATATTTACATTTAATCATTGGACCATTCTTCTTGCAGCACATACTCAACTTCATCCTTTTCTCCTGATTTTTTTTTAACTTTCAAATACTTCCTTGTGTTCTGAAATGTATTCTAATATGGATTTTCCTTTTCTTCCCATTTTAATGCATCAAATCTTTAAACCTGTTATCTGCTTTTAGCTTGAAATGTACATATGATGGACATGAGATTCATCAGTAAGTTCAGTGCTCAGACAGTTCTGAGTTTGAGTGTATACCTAGAATCATAGAATCATAGGACTGGAAGGGACCTCGAGAGGTCATCGAGTCCAGCCCCCCGCCCTCAAGGCAGGACCAAGCTCCGTCTACACCATCCCTGTTTGTTTATTATGTGTATCTTTCAGACAAACGCATGGTCTGACTGAACAGCCAGCTTTGCATAAATACAGACTAATGTATTATCATAATGCTTATACCTCATGCATTGTATTTTCTTAATAAACCAAGTTATTTTAAAATATTTGAACGATACAAAGTAGGTTGAAAATTAAAAGAAATTATGAATTATACTTTTTGTAAAACCCAGGATTTTTTAAAAAACAGATTTAAACTGAAAACAAACGGGCTTATCTGTAAAGCACAATATTCTCTGGGGGCACAGAACTCATGAAAATTGCCATGACACATCCGCCAAGAAAGCTGATAGTTATGCCTCTCCTAATGCTACTTTAAATGTAGGAGATTTCTAAAGGAAATGAGGTGAAAGAGGGATTAGCAAGATTGGGGAGGGAAGCAGGGAACCAACGTTTGACTGGGACTACATCTACACTGTGAGCTAGGGGTGTGATTCCCCTGCTTGTATTCACATACTCGCACTTCTTCTTAGCAAGCTAGTGCAAGTTTATACAGCAGTGTAGTCACAGTGACATGAGTAGCAGCAGCAGAGACACAGCTGAGCTGTGCAAAGTACTTACCCACCAGTTTCAGATAAGCCTGCAAACATAGGAGGATAATAGGATTTGTATCTGATTAAAAGAGAGACATAGCTAAGGTGAGCCAGACTACAGAAAGGGGCGGAGGTGGGGAGGGAGTGTCTGCAGCAAGCTAGACCTTTCAGAAACCCCTTGGTTATTTTGATTCTTTTCTCTTAAATGCTTTGTGCCTAGAGTTAAATCAACAATACTCTTTTTTTTAGAAGGTCACTGTATTCAACAGGTCATAGGCTCCTAAAGGGAAGAGTGGCAGATATCAAACCTAATAGGACCTACTGGGTAAATGTATTTGATACACATGGTTCTGCAGCTTAGAGCCATTTGACAATGGGAAAATCATGTGATTCCACGCAAAGAGAGGTAAAATCGCCAGGCCTGAGATTCAAAGTGGTGCACTCAGAGAAGCCAGAAAGAGGCAGAGTTGCAGTGAGCCCTGTAACTGAGACACATGGTTATTTGCTGTGGACTTTCTGCTACCTACTTTTTTATCTCGATTAGGCCAAATGATTTTCTTTATCTTCAGTGCTTTAATTAGGTTTTCACAGATGCCACAGGGCTCAGATGTGGTGATTAATTCAGTGCCACTCAGATCATTCTCAGTTCTGTAAAAGACAAAAATGTTGTCATTTTTTAAAATGAGCTCTTTTTGGTTTTAAATTAATTCTCTTAGCCTATCTAAAGTGAGTTCTTTTCCGTCTCTTCCTCCACCACTGACCAAAGGAGATTAGTAAGGAATCTGAGGCCTGTAGCTAAGACTCAGGATACATCGTGAGCTCGCTGCTATGATGGGATGAGATTGCATTGACTCTACCCAAGGAGCAGTCTGCAAGGTCCTCCTTTCATCTATGTGTGCAGCACTGTAGAAATAATACTCCTGTCTATACATATACCTCACACAGATCCCGCCCAGTGTTTTAGCTTAGTTGCCTTTCTCCCCTGCTCTAGTTATGTCTAGACTACATCCCTCTTTCAACAGAGGGATGTAAATTAGACACATCGAAATTGCAAATGAAGCTGGGATTTAAATTCCTTCATTTGCATAATTGCATCATGACATTCTTTCGAAAAATGCTATTTTGAAAGTGAAAGACACGGTTCTTTCAAAAAGAAAAGCCTTTTTCAAAAGATCCTGTAAACCTCATTTGAAATTCAAATCCCGGCTTCATTTGCAATTTTGATGTGTCTAATTTACAGCCCTCTGTCAAAAGAGGGATGTAGTTTAGACATACCGTAGTGTGAGGTAACATACTCTTTTGTATCTTTTATAATCTTGTCCATCTGCCATTCATCCATGGCTCTCGCCATACCCATACCTCTACATCAAAGCATCTATTCTCCTCCTCCTTCTCCCCACTGTCTTTATTTTCTCTTCTTTGTTACTCTCACATCTCTACAGTCCTCCCCATCTCTATCTCTTCCCTCCTCCCACCAGGAAAAATTTGGGTTCCACATCTGCATACTCTTCCTCCTCCTCACTTTTGGTGACATTTGCCCCCATCCACCCTTTCCTCCATCCTCTCCTTCTCCCACATCCACAACAACTGCCACCACCTCCCTCCCTTCTCATACCACAATTTCTCACACTTCCTACCTCAGAATTATTGCATTGGCTTCAGCACAGATAATTGCATGCTGGTCACAACTACAATCATCCTTCTGTGCAAAAAGACTATTTACTGTCCCTTTTGGAAATCCATTGTAGCCAACAGCAACCTATAACAATACCAGGCAAAAGTAAACAAAAAGAAGAATACTTTCCCAGGACCCTGATGCATTTAGGCCCAGTTCATCTCCAAAAACTTGTCACTGACTTCCATAGGAATTGTATCATTGTACACTTCAATCAGCCCATCATTATTCTTTGAGCATGTAGATTTCCATCACCTAAAATGTTTGCATTTTGAATCCTGAATATTAAATATATCTGAAGCCCCAGTTAGGGTTAGTTCCATTGCCAAATCCTGGTTTTAGGACATTTTTTCTTTCAATTTACAAGAAATCTTGATACATGAAGTGAAATAATTTAAAAAATTGAGCAAAACTGCACTATTTGCCCAACTGAGATGGTATTTATTCATTTTGCAAGGATGTATACTACACAGGTTGCACAAATGTAGGAAGCAATACAATTGTATCAGGACTGGCATGCAGAGAAGTCAGATGATGAGGATGATGATAATAATAATAATAATAATGATAATAATAATAATAATTAATAATAATAATTAGCGGGGGCTTTGCACATTCCAAGCACTGTGAAGATATGAAATAATCATCACAACATTCCTGGGAAGGAAGGAAGGAAGTATTTTTATCTTCATTCTTCACATGGAGAAATAGACACAGAGAGCCTAATTCTGATCTCACAGTGATGTGACTCCACTGACTTGGTAATGGAGCTCAAAAGTACATTCCTTAGTCCTCAACCCACTACACCATGCTATGTCTCAGCCTTTGTAGTTGTGTGAAATATTAGTAAGGCTATGGGTGAACTAAGACAATTGCTGTGTCTACACTGGGCCACTTATTCCGGAATATCAGCCGCTTTTCCGGAATAAGCTGCGAGCTGTCTACACTGGCCCTTGAATTTCCGGAAAAGCAACGATGCTCTACTGTACAAAATCAGCCGCTATTCCAGAAAAACTATTCTGCTCCCGCTCGGGCATAAGTCCTTATTCCGGAACACTGTTCCGGAAAAGGGCCAGTGTAGACAGCCCAGTAGTCTTTTCCGGAAAAAAGCCCCGATCGCGAAAATGGAGATCGGGGCTCTTTTCCAGAAAAGCGCGTCTACATTGGCCACAGACGCTTTTCCGGAAAAGGGCCAATGTAGATGCTCCTTTTCCGGAAAAAGTGAAAACGGAATAGTATTCCATTTTAAGCATTTCCAGAAATTCATGCCAGTGTAGACACAGCCAATATGTTCTAAGGCAGTAATAGGCAACCTGCAGGCTGCGGGCCACATGTGGTCCTTGGGGGTTCCACCTGCAGCCCACACACCCTGTTTTTCCTCCTCCCCCAAACCCCTCTCACACACTGGGGCACTGGAACCCAGCAATTCCTACGCCTCCCCCTTCCTCCCAGCACTTTCAAAGAGTATTGAATCCACGGATTTGCACTCCATCCCCGCTCTGGTGCCCCAGTGTACAAGAGGTCAGTACGGGGGAGGGGACAGAGAAGGGGTGTGCAAGTCACAAATGGAACCACAATGGGCCACTGGTCACAGATTAGCCACCACTGATCATGCAGTCCACTGACACAAAGGAAGACTGCTCATGCAGCCCACTGTCTTGGATGCCCATTACTGTTCTAAGGCCTATGGTAGATTGTAGCTGCACATTTTATTAGCCTCATCATAGTCTGTCCAAATGTCCAATAAGTTTTATACTCCATTAAAAATAGTCATGTGGAAATATGAATAATTTGTTCCTTGTGCAAGTTTCATTGTCTTTAAAATCCTTTCAGATTTAGACTTGCACACGGAGGGGTAGTTTAGGAGACTTTTTAAGAATCACTAGCGGGTTGCGCCCCATTCTCTCTACACTTGCCAACCCCCCGTCTCTGGTGGCTTTCATGGCCATACAGTATGAAAGTGTAATTAAATCATTCTGTCACCTGGCAGGAAAAGCTTTTTTATACATAGAGAGAGATTATTTACGTCAGTAGAATTAACTTGTTGACTTATAGAAATAATACTCAGAAAATCCATAGAAATGCTGTGCCTATTTTATGAAAGACTTGAGCTCTTTCAAATATTTGTATGCATCACAATACATTGCACAAAAAACCTACTAGGAGAAGTTTAATGTGGCAATCAACTGGCACAGATTAACGTTTGTGTCAAAAATGAATACTTGATGGCAAGACTGAGCAGGTTTTCCTCATCATTTTCAAACTGTACCTAGACAAATATGAATAGTTCTTAGGCTGCATATACTGTACTTACAATGTCTTCTTTTCCATAGATCAGTGTCCCCACTCCAATATTAGGACTGTCTGGTATGAAAAAAAAATCAAATCGTGAAGATGCCAACAAAGTCTCAGAAACTGATTCACCTTCTTGGTACAAAGTACACACCCATGAGCTATCACTATTTCCCTCCAAAGAAGATTCTACAGAGGAAAGAAAGTGTTAAGTTGCAGTGAGGGCTGCACATTGGCACCAGCTGCGAAAAGTGTCCAGGGATGTGCTTAATCAGCACATTCTACTGATGATGTGCCTGAACACAGTCTTATAGCCCACATAGCCTATGTCCCTATGCAATCCACCTCTACTCCCACCTGGTGGCATCATCTTGAGTGGAAGTGCCAATGATCTGGTAAGTGCTTATACCATTCCCAACTGCTCATTCTCACAGTTATTATATCTGCTGTTATCTCAGAAAAAGAATAAAAATACTATCTCCCCCGAGAAAGCAAGTCATAATGGTTTCTGCTAAACCTTCTGACTACAAAAGGTGAACTTATCAACTCACATCTCTCCAGGCCCATTGACAGGAGGGAGAAGGAAGCAAAGGGGACAATTGCTTTGAGGCCCAGCAATTCAAAAGGGCCTGGGACTCTCGACCACCGCTGCTGCTACTGGACGGTGTCAGCGACTGGGAGTCCTAGGCCTTTTAAATCACTGCTGGAGCCCTGCACATTGCACTTCAGACAGCATTAAGGGCTGCCTGGTATAGGCACAGTGTGCTCTGGGCAGCACTGAAGCTGCCTGGGGGAAGCTAGCTCCAGCCCCACCCCTTCCACCTGAACCCTGTTTCTTCCACCTGAGGCCCTGCATCTTCTGGGGGTGTGGAGCTGCCCTCACACATTGTCTAGGGGCCTAGCAAGTCTGTCAGCCCCACTGCCTTTCTCTGCAGCTTGGGTCATGGGTCACTTGCAGATTTAAACCAGCATAACTTGAAGTATTTAAATCATGATTTTAGGACTTCAGTAACTCAGCCAGAAATTAGGAGTCTATTACAAGAGAGGATGGGTGAGGTTCTGTGGTCTGCAATGTGCAGGAGGTCAGACTAGGTGATCATAACGGTCCCTTCTGGAATTAAAGTCTATAAGTAAGACCAACGACTGTCAGCCAATGCAGCTTGAAACTCAAAATAATTAACATGTCAGATGACACCTGAAGAAGTGTGTTATGCCCATGAAAGCTGATGATACCGTCTACATGTTTTGTTAGTCTTTAAGATGCTACTAGTCTATTTGTTGTTTTTTAAGTTTTTCCTGTTACAGACTAACTCAGCTACCCCTCTGAAGCTTCTGTACCATAGGGTCACAAAACTCAGTCTTGCAGCTTCATATAGTTACTTTCTATATCACATATTACATACATATAATCAGGGCTCGACAAACCGCGGCAAAATCCACTCGCCAGCCCCGCACCGCGCATATAATTATCTACTACCCGGCACTTTAAATTCATGAACTCTTGTCTTTCCTATACCATATTATTTGATGACATTACCTTAATACTAATCATTCACTTACCGTTTCTGGCTGCTAGTAAGTTACAGAGCTGCAATGCATGAGTGTACTTGAGCTCTCTTTGAATGCTGTGTATATCATCTTGAAAATTATTTTCCATTATTTTGGTGTCAGTACCACCTGCCAGCATCCGAAAAGACTGCATTGCTTTAGCAACATCATCTTTATGTGATTTCTGGTGTAATTTATCTTTTTTAATATGTGTCAAGTTAAGTATTTCTAAAAGTTTAGGTGATAGCATATGATCATATATAGAGGTAATTGGAGTGGTGCCCTTATCATTTGGAGGTGATCCTGTTCGTGGGAAAATCCTCTTCTTCACTGTTTCAACATCTAATATCGGTATGTAGATTGCTGCAGTGATGTAGCTTTCCCTAAAGATGTTATCAACAAGTTCAGCTTCCTTTTCAATTTTGGTCAGATTTACTTCTCTTATTTGTATTTCAAGGTTAGGCCAGTAATACACTTGAGCAACTTGAGCTGTACAAAGAAAAATATATGTAAGATAATATTAAAAATGAAATATAATAAGGTGAACTCACCTTAGTCGGCAAAATTAAAGTAGCAGGGGAACTAGCTAAACTTGTTTATGCATTATTATTTATTACTCATGAGAACTGAGGCAGTGATGGTTGCTGCACACAGTGAGGTCCTGCTCCATGATCCTAGATGCTGCTACACTACCAATAAATCATCATCATCACATTCTATCTACAGCACCAGCAACAAAAACATGAAAACAAGAGAAATGAGAACAGCTCTGTTATTAGCATCTACGTTTAACTCAGTGGTCCCCAACACGGTGCCCGTGGGTGCCATGGCTCCCGCCGGGGCATTTATGTGTGCCCACCTAGTGACCAGTGCCGGCCCGAGCCATTCTTGTGCCCCAGTGCCTCGGGCACCCAGTGCATGCATGGCCCCCACCCCAGGCATTCGGCAGATGCATGGTGCCACCCCCGGGTGCTTGGCACATGTGCGGTCCCGCCCCCGCCCAACCTGGCAGCCCCAAAAGGTTGGGGACCACTGGTTTAACTATTAATCTCAGACACATTCAGTGAATTGCAAACATAGCTCAATCAACAGTAAAATGGAAGTTTCACCTTTCAACCAAAATGAATTATTATTAATATTCATTTTAAAAATTGGCATCTTTTGAATTACAGGAATACTGTGAAGCCAGGTACCTACTTTGTCATATTTAAGAAATTTGTTGTAACTGGAAATTTCAATACAACCCTAATTATGAAACTGCCCACACATATAAATGCTTATAATAAGGTACATTTTAAAATTAAGGTTACTGTTACAAATATTTGAAACATAACTCCATTTAAAATTCAGTTTAGTCGAGTAGATCTTGGTGTTTTTATTTGTTTACAATGTGAACTACTTAACAGTGATTGGACCAAGGACATATATGATTCCTTTCTATTTAGCAAGGTGTTACCACATTACAGAGTGAATCTCTTTAGGCCATCAAGGAAGCGTTGTTTCGGGTGCTATTATTAAATTGAGTGAAACTACTGACTATTCATCATTATCAAAGCAGCTGCAACAATCAAATGGTAATATTAAAAAATATTAAACAGGTTCTGCATAATTTGGGAGTTTTTTATTGGTGGGAGGTGTTTGTTATTTTTTTAAAGCAAATGAATCTTGAATAAATGACAAGCATATATCTAACAATCTATTTGTCTTCTGTATTTTTGCTGGACATAATTGATACATTATTTTTCCAGAATAACACTTTTCCTCCCTTCCTAATTTTTTTTAGAATTATTCCTCTAGTTTTGTACTATTTTTCATTTTCCAGTCACAGGTTATCAGTAGCCACAGGCTAGCAGCTGAGAGCAGATGAGAGATTAATTCTCATTTCTTTGAGTTTGACCATTTCTTTTAGGAAGCCCTAGAAGGTTTGCCCTAGGATCATTTGGTAATAATTTCCAACAATTAGTAATATCACATTACAAGTGGCATCCTAATACTCTCTAATGACTGGACAAACACACTATACACACACAAAACCTTTGTGTTACCACAATTCCTATAATATTTATTACCATATAATCTCTCATATTTTTTACCTGATAGAAAACATTAAAAAAACCACACTTTCCTAACCACTGCTCAAAGTTCAATTTCTGTTTTAACTCATTTACTCACTTGTTTTCAATAACAGGATTGTGGTATGAAAGTTAATTGAGAAGGGTGGGTGGGGTGATTCATCTCTCTATATACCCATCACTCAACAATGGGATGGGCTATTCAGTCAGGAGGGAATGGGAAATGAGTAGAGAGAAAAAGGAAGTAATCCTTGACATCAGTATTTTAATCAGCTCGTGAGTCTTTCACAGGTATGATGCCCGTTAGTTACAAGTATTGTATCTCAGATACTGACCTTGAATCAAAAGTTTTGCACAACTGATGCAAGGCATTCGAGACAAGTAAACTTCACAGCCTCTCAGTGCATTTGGAAATCTCAACAGTGCTTTTGGCACAGCATGAAGATCCTTAGTGGAGCAATCCATTGTGATAATCCTTTTTGGTTTGTTAGCTTCACAGATGACAATTCCAGTTTTGGAAAACTACAAAATAAAATGCTTTCAAAATACCTTTAAACTTGCCATTCAAAACAGATAATGGCAAGGTCCATTTCACCAAAGCAAACTGCTTGCAACATATCTTTTGAGTGGAAGTGTGTGCAGCCAGCTAACAGACCACAGAAAACGTGTTTGAAATTGATTGGGAAGGTGGTGGGCCAAACACACCCAAGGCATCTGCTGCTTCAATGTATCTCTGAGGAAATATCTATTAGGGCTTGTCTTCACTGCAACAGTTAGCTCTAGTATCCTCAAGTTACTGCACTCCAGTCAGCCTAGTTTCAGTGCATGGAAACACACTTCAGAACACAGGAGTTTCACCAAGTAATCTGATTAGGAGCACAGATTATTGGATTTGCTGCTGATGCATTATTACAATGTAAGGCATTGAATCCACTTGAGCTTCAAGCCACCAATAGTTTGATACACCACCTGGCTTGATCTTAAAGCACTTTTTAACCCAAGCAAGAGCTTGGCATGCAAAGCGGAGAGTATCACTCAAGTTATAACTCAAGCTAAATGTGCCATGTAGACACACCCTCTGTGTGGTTCCTACAAAGTTCTAGATAAAGTCATGCTTGCTGCCCATGATGAATCACATGCAGGAAGGCAGAAGTTGTATGACTGACTACTTTCCAATAGGGTGAACCTCCCCCAGTGCAGCTGCCCCTTAAGATACAATTTACGTCTTCTCAACTGCAGAGATGAAACAAGCACCACAATTTCACAGCAGGATCAAACAGGAAAATACTGGCTCAGAGACAATATTTTAAACAGAGGTAAGTGTATCTAATAGCTAATAACAATTGTAGAAAAGTTATGAGATTGAAATATAGGAAAGAATTATCTCTTTTAATATTATTTATTTTAAGGTTTTTTTCAGTATGAAAGTCTTGTTTTATATTTTTACCCTTAAAAACTAAGGCTGGCTTTGCTACAGACTTAAGTCCTCCAAGAGCCAAATGTTATCAAATATATTTATTACTGGTATTATTTAATACTTGTATTGCTCTAATACCCAAAGGCCTCAATTAATGGGAATGGGAGGGAAGGAAAGAAGGAAAGTAGTCCTTCTGTCTGGAAATTCTTCTCTATACAGACAAATTCATCAGTAGCCATAAGGATGAAGGGAACTGCAATAGTTTAGTACTAATATAGTTAAATTATTCCACTTACTACTCCTAGTCCTAAAGCACTATGTTAAACAATATCAGAACATCCTACACAATGTCACATATGCAATTCCTGATTTTGGGGGCTGAATTTTATGCTTGTGAAAATGAGTTGGCTAGAAGCAGACACTTACTCTGCTAGCCTTCCATACACAAGTAACAGTGTACTTCAACCCAACATACAAAATCACTGTTCATCTGGTCCTGAACCACTTTAAAACAAACACCATCAGCTGTTCTGTGTGCTTGTTTTGTGATATACCAAATATGGACTATGATGAGATTATGTAAGACTAAATATTACATGACCATATGAAAACACTAGGATTTGGAAACCAATTCACTCACATGAAATCTTTGCCAAATAATGTGATATTTTCAAGGGCTATTCCACCACTGTTGGTTGGCATAGGGACTAAGTATTTAAGCAATTGGGAAAAATAAAAGGAGTTTCTGATTTATCAGAACTTCTTAGAAATGTTCCACATTATAGGTTAAAATTCTAACCAATCAAAATCTTGGTCAGCAATATGTAACAGTCAAAATCCTAACTAATAACATAGTTTCTTTTATCCTGCATAATGGATACTGAACTCTCTCAACTTACTTTGAAGGTATTTGCTTCTTCTTTCTTACCCACATATTTACAACTTGGCTCTTGACAAGTTGGTGAATTTTCCATATGGAGTGCTAAAAAGATGCACAAGTCTTCTTTATTTGGTAGACGAGCTGGAGGACCTAGAGAAAAAAAAGAGGAATTAGTTTGTCAAAACAAGCATGGAGTAAAAGTAGTAAATGGAGTAAGCGTAAAATATCCAATGGGAATGAGCTACAGACAATAATTCCCAAACTATCCCAGTCTTTGATTAAAACGAATGCTGCTGTACATTTCATTTCCATGTGTATTAAAATGAAGCACTATATCCTAAAACCACATTAATATTTGGTTCACCAGACCCCTCTGTTAAAATCCTCATTCTTGCACCAGACCAATCTATACCTGTCCAGTGCCAGCCATAACTTACACTGGCAGTTCATAGCAGCTAGGGATTGCTAGTATACAATGATACTCTGGTCTTGCTCCCTTCTCCAGCTATTCCCAGGGAAGATAAGACAATTCTGATGCCACCCATTTCCTTTGGCTGGCACAAGGAGTGAATTTCAACAGGTTTTGTGCCTAGGCAGATATCCTGTAGCTGGAAAAGCCTTTACCTCCCTCGCTCAACTTCACATTCCTCTTCTAAACTCATTTATTTCAGCTAGCATTCTGCCGTTTATCTTCACTTTGATGCTATATGTCCTTCTCTGTTACCTGAACATTATTTAAACAATTAAATCATATAATTAATGCAAATTATATTAAAATGATCACATCAGATTTACTTAAAAAGAGCACTCTCTCAAAAGCTGTATTCCCTTTCCATCCATTACTGTTGCCTTTATCTCCCTCCCCACTATGATCTGTTGCCACTATCCATTATGTTACTGGTGTGGTGTAGACTATAAGATCCCAGGGGCCTTATGTCTTTACATGTTTGTAAAGCAACAGTGGCACAGCTGTAGTTTTATATAGTGATATGCAAATAATAATAAACCATACTATCAGAACAATAACATTATTCTAATGACTATCAAAAAAGAGGCTTAGAAGTATGGAATAGCATGGAAATTTCAAATTCAAACTGAGGTATGTTGCCAAAGACATATGTTAGAAGTCTGAACTAGGGCTGTCAAATGATTAAAAAACTAATTATGATTTAAAAAATTAATCATGATTAAGCACACAATTAATTGCACTGTTAAATACAAATAGAAAACCATTCATTTAAATATTTTGGATGTTTTCTACATTTTCCGATGTTTTTATTTCAATTACAACACAGAGTACAAAGTGCACAGTATTCTATTTCTTATTGTAAATATTTGCATTGTAGAAAAAAATGAGATTTTTTTCAGTTCACTTAATATAAGTACTGTAGTGCGATCTATCATGAAAGATGAATATACAAATGTAAAATTATGTACAAAAATAACTGCATTAAAAAATAAAACAGTGTAAATATAAGAAGCTAGAAAATCTAGTAAGTCCGGCTTCTTATTCAGCCAATTGCTCAAACAAATTTGTTTACATTTGTGAGAGAAAATGTTGCCTGCTTCTTGTTTACAATGTCATCTGAAAGTAAGAACAGGACTTCATACATGCACTGTTATAGCTGATGTCACAAGCTATGTATAAGCCTGATATGATAAAGATTCATATGTTCCTTCATGCTTCAACCACCATTCCAGTGGACACGCGTCCATGCTGACGACAGGTTATGCTCGATAATGATCCAAAGCAGTGTGGACCAATGCATGTTAACTTTCATCATCTGACTCAGATGTCCCCAGCAGAAGGTGGATTTTCCTTTTTTGTGGTTTGGGCTCTGTAGTTTCCACATCAGAGTATTGTGCTTTTAAGACTTCTGGAAGCATGCTCCCTACTTCAGTCCCCTCAGATTTTGGAAGGTACTTCAGATTCTTAAACATTGGGTAGAATGCTGTGTCTATCTTTAGAAATCTTACTCTTTTTTTTAAGTTTTGTCAAATCTGTAGTGAAAGTGTTCTTAAAATAAACAACATGTGCTGTATCATCATCTGAAACTGCTATAACATGAAATATATAGCAGAATGAAGGTAAACCAGCAGGACATATAAAATTCTCCCCCCAATTGTTCCGTCACAAATTAATGCATTATTTTTTAACGAACATCATCAGCATGGAAGCATGTCCTCTGAAATGGTGGCCAAAGCATGAAGAGGTACATGAATGTTTAGCATATCTGGCACATAAATACCTTTCAATGTCAACTACACATGTGCCATGCAAATGTCTATTCTCATGATTAGGTGACATTGTAAATAAGCAGGCAGCATTATCTCCCATAAATGTAAACAAACTTATTTTTCTTAGTGATTGGCTGAACAAAAAGTGGGACCGAGTGGACTTGTAGGCTCTAAGGTTTACATTGTTTTATTTTTGAATGCAGTTCTGTCTCAAAAAATCTACATTGGTGAGCTGCGCTTTCACAATAAAGAAACTGCACTATTGTACTTACATGAGATTGACTGAAAAAACACTATTTCTTTTGTCATTTTTACAGTACAAATATTTGTAATAAAAATAATATAAAGTGAGCACTTTACACTTTGTGTTCTGTATTGTACCTGAAATCAATATATTTGAAAATGTAGGAAAACCTCCAAAACATTAAATATATTTCAATTAGTATTTTGTAATCATGATTAATTGAGTTAATCGCATAAGTTGACTGAAATATTTGAATATTACCTGTCCATGCAATGGCTCATGACTTTCAAAACAATGAAATTTATTCAAACATTTTAAAGAAGAAATAATTATGAAATTAGAAAGAAATAAGAATATATGCACAAGTTGTTGAATATATTTTTTGCCTTTATCATTCTTTCTTTCCGCATCTTCTCCAGTGCTTTCTTCTAAATTCTCTGAGTCCTCACTGAGAATAGAAGCTGGAGGAGAAAAGAAAAATTTTAAATGAGGAATTAAGTAGGGGCTTGCTCTGATGAAGTTTAGTAATTGAAACTATCCCACCTACTACTATGAATGGCACCAGACTGCTTTTCATTACAACATGGAGAGGATCCATTTAGTTCAATATTTAATAAGTAAGACATGAAGGGCCTTATTCTAATAATGATTATTACAGGTTGTACCTCCCTTAACTGGGACTCCCTGGTCCAGCAACATCCGTGGTCCGGCATGGACCACGGACGTTCCTGGACCACAGAGCCCAGGAAGACAGAGGTCTGGCGGCAGGGCAGATGCACTGTAAAGGGCACCGGCGACTCAGCCAGGAGCCCAGAGTGTGTGTGGGCAGCGGGGGAGAGGACAGGCATCATGGCAGGGAATTCTGGCCCCAGCAGAGCTCCCTAGCCCCAGCAGCCACGGAGCTCTAGCCTGGCCATGGCCATGGATCTTTAGCCCTGGCCAAGGAGCTCGGACCCCAGCAGCAGCCAGGGAGCTCTGGCCCCGTCCCCAGCCGTGGAGCTCCGGCCATATTCTGGCTCCAGTGGCCAGGGAACTCCAGCCCCAGCAACAGCCAGAGAGCTCTGGCCCAGGTCACAGAGCTCCAGCCCCATCCCTCAGCTCCAGCCCCAGCCACAGAGACGGCTGTGGCGCTCTGCCCCAGCTGCACAGCTCTGGCCATGGTGCTCTGGCCCCAGCAGCAGCGAGGCTGGGGAGAGTCCCGGGAGGCTGAGGCAGCAGCTGGGGCAGGCTGAGGCCCTAGCCTGGTGGCAGCACAGCCATGAGGGGAGGGACATTCCCTGGTCCAGCATATCTCCTCATTCAGGACCAGTCAGGTCCCGAGGGTGCAGGACCAGCGAGGTCCAACCTGTACCACACACAGAAAGTAGTCCCAATAAAGTCAATAGTAATCATTTGTGAAGTAAAATGTTACTTAACCAGAGTAGGAATAAGAATCAGGTTCTAAAACAAAATATATAAAAATAAAATTTATAAATAGTTTTATAGTCTTTTTTTCAAGGGCAGGGGGTTATACTGCACAATAGTGGATATTGTAAATCTTGATTTAGATATCGAAGACAATGCCTAATTTAAACTGGTGATAATTTTTCCATCAGTTAGTAACTTCTGAGGGAATGGACTGAAAGGCTTTGTAAAAATATTTAGAATGATTACATGTCCTCTCAAAATATATTTCTTCCACAAGTCCGGTAAAATCTAATTCTCCCTTCATAGTAGCTCACTGTGTGTGTGGGTGCATGCACATGCATTTGTGCGACTATACTCATGTCCCATTATACAAGCTGAGTAAGAATAAAATACCAGATTTAGCAACTTAAAGACACAATGTATATACCTTACCAGTATATTCCGCCTCTTGTGGTTTCCACTGTTGAAAAATAGAAGGAATTGATACAAAGCACGATCACAAAATAACATTTTGCACAGTTCTTTTTCAGCCCACAGCTCCCTAGCTATTCATCAGATCTGTTCAGGGAATTTCTTGGGACATCAGACAAACCTGGGTACCTTTCTCTAATTCTACATGCTATCTGTGTCATTATTTCATTTCTAAAGCTCTCATTCTACTGGGGCAAGGCAAATTCACATAAACAGCTACCTTCATTCAGTATTTATCTGATTTGTCCATATCCCTGTCTCCCCCATTTCTCTCTTCCCCCCCCCAAACTCTGATCCTTTAAACTCTGTCAAATATGTTTAATTAATCTTAATTATTAAGTGATATTATTTCCCTCCCTTGATGCCACTACTGACATTTCTTCTCATTGATGCATTGTTTCCCATGCCATCCTTGACTAGATGACTCCCAAACACATAATACAGGCAGTCCCCGAGTTATGTGGATCCAACTTATGTCGGATCCGCAGTTACGAATGGGGTTTTTCTCGCCCCGGAGGACAGGAGCGGCGGGACACCCAGATGCTCTG